AAAAGGAGCGGCATGGGGGCGCTGGAGCAGAAGGGGGCGGTAGGGGGGCCCTGGAGCAAGCCAAACCTGTGAAGATGGCTGCAGCCTTTTTACAGTGTGCATGAATATATATTTTCCTCCAATCTTAATTTAGTTTCAGAGTTTTTGTCTTGAAATTTTTAGTTCCTGCATTGCGGTTTGTTTTATGCTCTTTTTATATTTCTTTTTGTGTCTTAAAATTCACTTGCAACTAAATCATAAAATGTTACTTTTGGGGGGCATTTCATTTTCTTGCAATTGAATTTTGTTTTCAGGGGTCATTGGATTTAAGTGAAATAAATAAATAAATAAATAAATAAATAAATAAATAAATAAATAAATAAATAAATAAATAAAAGAAAGAAAGAAAGAAAGAAAGAAAGAAAGAAAGAAAGAAAGAAAGAAAGAAAGAAAGAAAGAAAGAAAGAAAGAAAGAAAGAAATCATCACCGCTGGGAGGGGGGCGATGATAACTTCCTCAATGGCTCAAGGGGGCGTTTCTTTCAAAAAGGTTAAGAACCACTGCCCTAGAAAACGGTAGTCCTCTAGGCTGAGATGGAAGAAGACCTTGGGTCTAGATGGGCAGGACAGAAATCCAAAATAAATAAATAAATAAAGATTCTGAGGTATTAGGAGGTTGATTCTCACTTTCTGCCCTCCTAATGTTCTTTGATCTGACCATATTTCTGCTCTAATCACTGGCAAAACAAAGGATGTTCTGAAGTGAAGTCCTTGGCTACTTCGCCTGTTTTTCAAATGGGGAGGAGGGTGTCAAGATTGCAGACTTTAATAAGGGGGAAAAATGAATATATTGTGCTTTGTAGATAAGAGGCCTAATAAAAGACCTTGTCCATACAATGAGAACTTTCTTCTTTGTCTGTTAGCAAGGCCTACCATTCCTTTAAGCTTACCGTAGGACCCTCATATCCATTGGGATTGGTATCCATGGTTTCACTTCTCTGTGGTCTGAAAATACTAAAAATATTCAAGGAAAAAACCTTTAAAATACTGTACCGTATATGCCGCCGTACTAGGCGACGGGCCGTATTAGACGACCCCCCCCCAAAATGCGGCGCTGGGAAGAGGCTTGGGGGGGCGGCAGCAGGAGGAAGAGGAGAAGGAGGAAGAGGGGAAACACGGGTAGCCGGCAAGTGCCCGCGCCGCTGGCTACCAGCGAGAGGGCGAGGAAGAGGGGAAGAGGAAGCGGGCCAGTGGCCGGCATGGCAGGCTCTGCTTCCCTCCCTCCGGACCAACTGCCTGCCTGCCTGCTCGCCTGCCTTCCTCCCCGGCCAGCGCGGTCCCGCGTCACTCACGTGGTGGTGGTGGCGGCGGCTCCTTCCTGGGACCCGGCGTACAAGACGACTCCCTACTTGGAGGCATGTTTTTTTGGGCCCCAAAAGTCATCTTGTATGCCGGCATATACGGTATATATTTCCACAATATATATTGTGGAAATATATATTTCCTCTCACTAGAGGGAGCCAGAGGTCATGCTATGCATTTTTGTTGTTGAAGAATGAATAGTATGGTCTCTGCCTCCCTCTAGTGGTGGGTTCTGGTAACACATGTGGAAATACTTTTTTCTGGATTTAGGAAGAGAAAGGTTACAGAAGAACAGCAAAGATGGGGCCTGCCTGGCCTCCAGTGGGAGGGAGTTCAAGAGTCTGGGAGCAGCCACAGAGATGCCCTCCTCTCGTGTCACCACCAAACACACTGGTGAAGACACTGCTTGAAAGATAGGGTGATCATCCTTCAGAGGACTGGAGCCCCCCAATGCCCCTTCCTGGACCTGCAAATGACACCCCCCCTTCACCACTTAAAACAGTCTTTTAACATTTTAAGATCATGGGATGCACACAGGGGACAATTTGGCCAGGGGTTTGCTTCTCTCTCCAGAGGACCCGGAGCGAGGCCTCTCTTCCCAATCCCAGAATGACTTGCTAGGGAGATGATGGGAGGGGAGTGGAACCAGGGGTGTGTGTTTTAACCCCTCAAGGCCCACCTGTGGGTTGCATTTTCCTCCCCAACTTTCATTAAAGGGTGCAGTTAAAGCATGCCTGGGTATCTGGCGAAGCGTATTGTTCTAGGAACTGTGTGATGCACACACAATTTCCATGGGGTGTGGGTGTCTCATATCCCCAACACATCTGGATGAAATATGTGGGTGGGTGAGCCCCAACGCCCTGCAGGCTAGTCCAGCCTCTGCCGAAACAGTGGGGCCACCCCCATGCACCGGGGATTAGATGGCGTGGGGCTTTACCCACACAGAACACCACGTTAGGAGGGAGACTGGTGTGATCAGGGTGGTTGCCTTGCAAGGATGCGCTCAGCGCAGGGACACGGGCGTCTGCTGGTGGCTCTTGAGGACCCATTCCAGGCAGGCAGAGAGCAGGGGGAGGGTGACTGTCATGGACAGCATGCGATAGCACCCCCTTAGTTCTCCCATGCACTTTGACACTAGGCCAAGATGTGCACACACTATTGCAGAGTTCCGAATGTCTCGCAAAATTGCTTTTCTTATGCAGTACAAGTACAGAGATCCACAGAGGAAATAGCTTCAAGTTCCCAGAAAGTCCACCCCCTTTCAAATGTATTTATTTATTTTACTTCTTTCTGAAATTCATATACTGCCCCATTAGTGCCATGCGGTATTCTGGGTTGTTTGCAGCAGGATAAAAACACAGCAATCGCATATTAAATAAAGCAAGTAAACAATAACACACAAACAGCATAATGCATAACTTGCAAACAGAACACAGAACGCGAGCCATTTATAAACAAACAAAAGAAACAAAAACATGGCAGGCAGGGTTGCAGTAACTCCCTCTGAGACATTTGTAGGAGAAAGACTAAAAACATTTCTTTACTTACAGTTGCTTTAATTTACAAACTTGTGCACGTTGCACAACAACCAACTGAACAGATCAGCAGCAAAGAAACATCAACTGGAGAAAGAGGGAGGGGCGGAAATAACAGCAGAACGGCGGGGCCCTCTTTGAACTCAAAGGCAAGAAGGAAGGATTGGCTAGTGCTGGATATACAGTCACCCCAACCCAGAAAAAGTCCCTCCCAGTCACACAAACTGCAGACTGCATACGAGGTTGCAAATAAAACTCCCAACAAGCACACGGTTTCTACAAACCTCCAATAGTAACAGGATGCCCGAGGCGATCTGGGTTGCCAAGAGATTTGAACATATGGGACAGGAGTGCGATGTGG